AAATAAAATCATAGAATAAATATAAAATCATTATTAAAACCCAAACCTCTTAAAAAAAAAGTTAAAACTATTAAATTTGTTAAAACGAGCCTTGATAATTAAGTGGATGAAACATAAGGTGCCAAGCCAAATTATTATATTTTCTAGGGTTGGGCAACCCACCAAATCCAACTTAAAAATCAACTTCATATTCCATAAATCGAAGTATATAATAATCCACAATAAGACTAAAAAAAAAATCAATCCTAACTAAAAATTGAAATGAATGAAAGTAATTTGCTGAAATAGATCGAACTGGTAAATTGCATACATGTCCTTGCAATGAAAGCAAAAATAGAATAGAAAAGTTAATTAATGTCTTCAATACAATGAGACTAAAAAAAAAATCAATTGTAACTAAAAATTGAAACGAACGAAAGTAATTTGCCAAGGTAGATCGAACTAGTAAATTGCATACATGTCCTTGCAGTAAAAGCAAAAATAAAATAGAAAAGTTAATTAATGTCTCCATACAATAAGACTAAAAAAAAAAATTGATTGTAACTAGAAATTGAAACGAACGAAAGTAATTTGCTAAGGTAAATCGAACCAGTAAATTGTATACTTGTTCTTGCAATAAAGCAAAAATAGAATAGAAAAGTTAATTAATGTCTTTAATACAATAAGACTAAAAAAAAAAATCGATCATAACTAAAAATTGAAATGAACGAAAGTAATTTGCTGAAATAGATTGAACTGATAAATTGCATACATGTCTTTGCAGTGAAATCAAAAATAAAATAGAAAGTTAATTAATGTCTCTAATACAATGAAACTAAAAAAAAAAATCAATCGTAACTAAAAATTAAAACAAATGAAAGTAATTTGTTGAGGTAGATTGAACCAGTAATTTGCATATATGTTCTTGCAGTAAAAGCAAAAATAGAATAGAAAAGTTAATTAATGTTTCCAATATAATGAGACTAAAAAAAAAAATCGATTATAACTAAAAAAAATTAAAACAAACGAAAGTAATTTGCTAAGATAGATCGAACTGGTAAATTGCATACACGTCCTTGCAATGAAAGTAAAAATAGAATAGAAAAGTTAATTAATGTCTCCAATACAATGAAACTAAAAAAAAAAAATTGATAGTAACTAGAAATTGAAACGAATGAAAGTAATTTGCTAAGATAAATCAAACCGGTAAATTGCATACTTGTCCTTGCAGTAAAGCAAAAATAGAATAGAAAAGTTAATTAATGTCTCCAATATAATAAGACTAAAAAAAAAATCGATCATAACTAAAAATTGAAACAAACAAAAGTAATTTGCTGAGGTAGATTGAACTGGTAAATTGCATACTTGTCATTGCAATAGCAAAAATAGAATAGAAAAGTTAATTAATGTCTCCAATACAATAAGACTAAAAAAAAAAAATTGATCGTAACTAGAAATTGAAATGAACGAAAGTAATTTGCTGTGGTAAATCAAACCAGTAAATTGCATACTTGTCTTTGCAGTAAAGCAAAAATAGAATAAAAAAGTTAATTAATGTCTCCAATACAATAAGACTAAAAAAAAAATCAATCGTAACTAAAAATTGAAATGAACGAAAGTAATTTGCTGAGGTAGATCGAACTGGTAAATTGTATACATATCCTTGTAGTGAAAGCAAAAATAGAATAGAAAAGTTAATTAATGTCTCTAATACAATAAGACTAAAAAAAAAAATCAATTGTAACTAAAAAAAATTGAAATGAATGAAAGTAATTTGCTGAGGTAAATCGAACCAGTAAATTGCATATATGTCCTTGCAATGAAAGTAAAAATAGAATAGAAAAATTAATTAATGTCTTCAATACAATAAGACTAAAAAAAAAAAATTAATTGTAACTAAAAATTGAAATGAACGAAAATAATTTGCCAAGGTAGATCGAACTGGTAAATTGCATATTTGTCTTTGCAGTGAAGTAAAAATAGAATAGAAAAGTTAATTAATATCTCCATACAATGAGACTAAAAAAAAAATTGATTGTAACTAAAAATTGAACCGAATGAAAGTAATTTGCTGAGGTAGATCAAACCAGTAAATTGTATACATGTCCTTGCAGTGAAAGCAAAAATAGAATAGAAAAGTTAATTAATGTCTCCAATACAATAAGACTAAAAAAAAAAAATTGATCGTAACTAAAAAATTGAAATGAACAAAAGTAATTTGCTGAGGTTAATTAAACCGGTAATTGTATATACATCCTTGCAATGAAAGTAAAAATAGAATAGAAAAGTTAATTAATGTCTTCAATACAATGAGATTAAAAAAAAAAAAAATCAATCATAACTAAAAATTGAAATGAACGAAAGTAATTTGCTGAGGTAAATCAAACTAGTAAATTGTATACTTGTTCTTGCAGAAAGTAAAAATAGAATAGAAAAGTTAATTAATATCTCTAATACAATGAGACTAAAAAAAAATTGATCATAACTAAAAATTGAAACGAATGAAAGTAATTTGCTAAGGTAGATCGAACCGGTAAATTGCATACTTGTCCTTGAAATAGCAAAATTAGAATAGAAAAGTTAATTAATGTCTCCAATACAATGAAACTAAAAAAAAAAAAATTGATCATAACTAGAAATTGAAACGAACGAAAGTAATTTGCTGAGGTAGATTGAACCGGTAAATTGCATACTTGTCCTTGCAGTAAAGCAAAAATAGAATAGAAAAGTTAATTAATATGAAACTTATCCCAATAGTCTCAGAAACTCTGAGTCCGATGAAAAAGCTGACATGAATTGTGGTGCTTATAATAATAACTAAAAAAATATAGAAGAAGCTTGATCAAATTAAACACTTATTGATTATTCATTGATCGATCGATTATCAGAATTATCCATAACTATGTGATATGTAACCCTGAATAAGCAATATGATTAAGAAAAAAATAAGAGAGAATAATTAGTAGAGATTTTTAGTAGAAATTATCCAAATATTTTATTTCTTTTATTATAAAACATTTTGTATAAAACCATAGTATTTTCTTTACTTCATAAAGCATAACTCTTGGAATTCCATCTTCGAAGTTCTCATAGAACCTTTATTTTCTTGACCATGTAGTAGTCTTAAAAGCTTAACTCTTGGAGTTCCAACTTCGAAGTCCTCATAGTAGAAGTTATCCAGATATTTTATTCTCTTTATTTGTGTAAAACTGTAGTATTTCTTGACTATAATAAACGAATTCCTAGAGTTCCCAATTAGAAGTCTTCAGGATAGAAGTTATCCAAGTATTTTATTCCTTTATTATAAAACAAAATTATAGTATTTTCTTGACCTTGTAATAGTCATAAAAGTATAACCAGTTTGAGTAAGAGAGAAAACAAAGAGAACCTGATTTGTATTACAATTACTTATATAGTAATTTATGAGTAATTATCTCTGTGATTGAATGTAAGATATATTAATATCATTTAACAAGTCAATCAACGTGATCTTGAGAAAGAGAATAAAAAGTTATTAGAGAATAAAAAAATGACCAATAGACCTGAAAGCAATTAAGTAGAATGATACTCATAGCAAAACTTATTTTAAATATACACTACATAAAGAATTAGCTTAGAAAAAAAAATATAGCAATAATAGTTTTCATTAAAAAATGATTTTAAAAAAGTTGTTTTTCAGAAAACTTTCCTCACAATAATTTAAATCTGTTTAAAATTCAGTATTCTTATAGTTCTCAAAGAAACATACAATTTGTAAATAACATTAATATTCAAAATAAGGCTTTCTTATTTGAGAACATTCTATTAACTCTAAAATGTTTTCCAAAAAAATTAATATATTTTAATCTAATAAACTAGTACTTTGAAAAGTTATTTTGGTTGAGTTTAGAGCCAAACTCGGGTTGTATTATGTACTGTATAATTTAATTATTTAAAAATTATTTTATAAATCTAAATAATGCTACAATAGTTATATAATTTAAATAATTTGATTCAAGCTGGTATAAAGAGTATCTTGGAGTTTAGTTTTTAATTTAGATTATTCAAATTAATTTAGCCCTTTAGGAGAATATTAAAAACTTTTTGAGAACACTAATAATATAAATTGTTATGGCCGATGCTAGAAATGGCTAATGATTAAAATTTCAATTATTTTAATATAAAATTTTAAAAATTTTTTGGACCTTCTGTTAGAGGTTTTTTTTAGAGTTAGGTTAGAGTTTAGGAGTAGTTTTAATAATAAAAAAGTATAAGTATATTTTGTTAGAGTTTATATTCTTTTGAAAACTTAATTTTAAATTTGAATTTTAAATACTAGTTACAGTATATCACATATTATTTATTTGCTATTAAGAGAGTTCTTATTTATAAACTACAGCCATGAAATCATAGGTATATAATTGAGAATTAAATTGATATGAAATATAGCAGTAATATCTAATTTTATAATAAATGCTTTCAATATCAACTCAAAATATACTAATATCCTTAACATTCTATATTGCACTATATCATCCTGAAATTATTACTCATAAAAGTTACCATATTTAAATACTAAATAATTGTCTTTTTAAATGACAATATTTGTTTTATTAAACTATTTTATAAAAAAAATTGTTCTTAAAATATTGGATATTGGTATTGTTATGAGAGTCTCCTGAGCAAGAGGAATGACACGCATATACAAAGTGTACTTTTGGAATGTCACTGGAAATTGAAATTGGATAAATATGATACCATCTTGTATCTGACTCTTCCTGTCTCTCATATATTGGGCATCTTAAAAGAATATCAGTACACTCAATATTTATTAACTAATCAATCCAAACAAAGGTATAAATAAGTCTAGTATTATATTTATACGTAAAAATTGCTCTGATAATTGCATAAAACTCTTCTTCTTCTTCTTTTATAATTATGAAGTTTGATATAAGCATAAAATTCTTCATTGTTATCTAGAAGTGTATACCAGATGTATTGGTAAAGTTTAATAGTATGTGTTTTGATATATTTGCGCTGTTTCATGTATTTTGTATATGCTGCAAAAAAATCATTTTTATTGTAGAGTTATTATCAATATGATTTGTCAATTGTAAAGATTGAATTTCTAAATAAGTTAGTTGTTTCTGAACTTGTATGTTGACTATTTGGATATCTTCTGAAACTATGCCTGTATCTAAAGATTTTATTATTATATGTGTTAAGTAAAATAAATATATAATATTAATATGAAAAATACCTTCTTCAGAAATGTTTTCTGGGTACAAGTCTTCAGTCATATATAGGGTTCCGCAATTCGATTTGATTTGATTTGATTCAATCAAATATTTGATCTCAAATCAAATTCAAATACAAAAATTTCAAATCAAATCAAATTCAAATTGACAAAATATTTGATTTGATTCGAAAATACTTAATAAAAATTACAAATAAATTTGATTTGATTTGAATTTGATTTGATCAAATCAAATTCAAATACAAAAATTTTAAATCAAATCAAATTCAAATTGACAAAATATTCGATTCGATTCGACTTTGAGGAACCCTAGTTATATACTATCCTGTTAGGAGCAATATAAGGCGTTAATCTTTAATAATACTTTTCAATCCATCTTCAATATTACTTTTATTGAACCGATTATCAGTTTTACTATTAATTAAATATCGAATAGCTTGCAAGACATTAGCATGTCGCATCAAGTCAAATTCAATATTTTTTTGATTGGTTCTAAGAATGTCTTGTTTAAAAAGCCTATGAACCATTTCATTGATAGCATAATTAGAATTAACTAGAGTTGTGTAATTTTTGCAGTTTTGTATTAAATGAAAATTAATATGAAGATTTGGGAGATTTTTAAAGTCATCAGGAAATAGCTTTATAGTGGAAATATAAATCTATTAGAGATTTTAAAAAATTTAATTAAATTTTTACATCAAGTAAATTTATAAAAAATTAATAATACTTCTATCAATATGTGATGCTTTTCTGTAAGTAAGTTTTGAAGACAATTTAAGTCATTTTTAGTCAACTTTAACTTGAAACAATGTGCTACAACATCTGCTACTATTATCCAACATGAGACAATATTGTTAATAATTTGCTTTGTAGATCGTCTTCTTTGGTTAGATGATAAATAGTCACATAACACTGCAAGATCAGTTGAAATAATATTATCTGGAATTAAAAAACACTTTAAAATAAATAGCATTAACATAGTGAGTTGCAATGTGTCTGAAAACATGAAAGTTTTGAGGTAAGTAATAGGATTAGACAAATGATGCCAAGTCAATGGTTTTTCAAAATATCGCCAATGTTTTAAAAACCACCTCTTTCCACTTTCATTTAACAAATTGAAAGTACATTCTAATAATTTCTGAACCTTGCTGCCAACCGCATAGTAAGTATCTTGAGGCATTTGCAGATAAAGGTTACATAATAAAGTCAATAAAATGCCTGGTTTTAATCTAATACTATGGCTTTTTGTAAACTCCTCAATTTCTGTCTTGGTTGTATTTTGGTTTATTAATGTCTATAATTTAGATAATAATAAGAATTTTTTCAATTAATTTAAGAATGATTACAATAATAGTTAAACAAAAAAAATATATTGAACATAAAAAATATAAGGGAATTTATATAAGAGCCCGAAAATAAAAATAATTACCAAAGTGAAAATAATTGCACATAAGGACCAAAATTTTGAAAAAATATTTCATTCAAGGGTCCAAATTTATCATAATAAGATTGTAAATTTTAGTATATAAAATTATATAAATGTAATTGTATTGCATTACATTTATTCTCTTAGCACCTTTCATATAAAAATTATAGCCACTTTTGCAGATTTTTAAAAGTAATTAACTTTTTCTATGAATAAATAACAAGCTTCAGCTCTAAATTTCTTTGATTAATATATAGTATCCTTCGCAATTATTGATTTACTAGTTTGGTATAGCGATAGAATAAACATATCAGTTTAAAACCAAATAAATATTATAAATTGAATTTAATCTAGTCGAATTGTTTCTTGGTTCATTAAGTGAAAATAAAGTATAAAATATATAAATCAATACATATAACACAAAATTATTTTGGTCCTTAATTGCAAAATTTTGGTTCCTATATGTAATTATTTTCACTTTTGGGCTATATATATAAATTTCCCAAAAATATACTACTATCTATTTGTAATTTAATAAAATATTGTTTGGTAATATGATAAAAACATGCATAACGTATTTTATCAAATGTAATATCAGTCAATTGATCTTTAGAAGCAAGACAATTTCAACATCTATAGATAGCACCTTGTTTTTTAACATCACATAGACCATTTCCCTGAGGCAAATTAGCAGTTATTAGTCCAATTGAAGCGATAACTCACACTGGTTCATTGTTTATTTTTATCATAACACCTTTTTCTAATTGATAAAGTTCTTGAAGCAAAGGGCGCATAAAATCATCAAAATTATCCCTGAATGGTATAAATCCTATAACGAAGTGATTTTTTAATTGTTTTTTCAAATTGAAAAGCATATTGCCTATTTGAATATAAACACCTTCTAATGAGTAATATGTATTGTGAAAAGTGCCAAAATCATCATTATAAATATCAATCATGAATTTAAATACTTTCATATTGTGCAAGGGCATGCTTGGTACAGTAATATGCTCAGAAGGATAATAGTGTCGTAAATTAACTGGCCAGATTTGAATTCATTTGGTGACTATGTTGTGATACAGAATTTCAGAAACACGAAAATCGAAGGATACAGGTTGGGGTAAATCTTCAATCCAGATTGAAATATGTCTTATAACATTATTAGAAAGAATAATTTAAAAATCATCCAAAGCTTATTGAGTCCTCTGCAACTTCTATCATGACTATGATAAACTCCCAACTCGTTATGTCTTAAAAGCTTCGACATCTTTAAGGCATTTTGTATTTGGGTATTTGAATAATTAGATTCAAATTGCGGCATGACTGAAACAATGGCTTTTATTTTTCCAAATCACTTTTTGCTTTGACTATTGTTATTAGTATAATTAAACTCTACAAATTGTCCAATAGCGTATTTAGTATTATTTATAATTATAGTAGCATTACTATATAAAGAAGACCGCTACTAGATATTGCTATGCCATAATTCTAATTTCTTCTAACTTTCAATACCGCAACCAAAATACATCTTTGTCATTAAACATGAGTTATTCAAAACCCGGTTAAGGTGCTCTTTTATTAAAATAGTATAAACAAGTTTAGTTGACTTTGACGTAGAAGGCGTCTTCCGATTATTAATAGAAATCGTATAACTTTTTATATTCAACAAGGGCATTTTAGTTCGTTAAGATCTAAGGTGTCTTATATTCTTCGATACATGGTGAAGTTGAAATTGTAAATGCTTAATTATTACTATCAAGTCTTCATACACTTTTGTAGATATTATGTATTTAGTAACCCATAAGAAAAGCATCTGTTAAGTAAAATTAGTGAAGTATAGACCATATTTACTGTTATATGGTTTGAAAAACACAGGCTCATCTGCTATCTTTTGTGTAGATAAATCATTATCGTTAATTAAAATGCTATCAATATTATTTTTAAAGTCATCAATATTGTCTTCAAAGTCATTATCACTGCTTTCAAAGTTGTCACTATCAATTAAAATATCTTCAAAATCATTGTTACTGTCTTCAAGGTCATTAATTAATATATCTTCAAGTTTATTATATTTGTCTTCATTATTATCTCCAGATTTGCCATTATTAATCAACATATCATCATCTTCATTACTGTATTCAAGGTCATCATCACTTTCATTACTGTATTTAAGATCATCATCGCTTTTATTACTATCTTCAAATTCATCATTATTGGTTAAAACGTCTTCAAGATCACCATAATTATTAAGTATGTTATTAATTGAAGCATCTTGAGAATTATTCGCTACAAGCTTGGCTTGTTTGTGCAATAGCAAGCAAGGTCATCTTACTCTCTGAATAAATAGTAAATTTTTGCTTTAAAGTGCATGTGTAAGTCATCACCAATTATTATTTTCATTATTTATATGAAAGAGTCTATTTTCTTACTGCGTTGTGCAAAAAAAAATTATCCTTGATAGCAAAGATAATCTATTTATATATATTTATATATTATATAATAAGGTAATTATATTTCAATAAAATATATGAGGTATATAATATGTAATTAATTAATTAATTTACCCCATATAAATGATTTCTGCATTAACTATTTTGTACAACTCAGTTTTTTTGTTAACATAATATATAAATTGCATTCTTGATATTTATTATAATTTAAACTACTAACTGCATCAAAATGAACCCTCTAGCTTTAAAGTTCTAAATATGAAAAATGAGTATTTTAATTGAATACTCACAGTTTAAATACGAAGCTCTATAAACTAAGCCAGATAATACCTTTTTTTAATTAACCAAATACTAGTTTGAACTAACTTAATCAAAATTTCAGTTATTCATTAATACAAATAAATTGGTTCCAAATTGGTAAATAACTACAGTCCTTTGTATTGCCTCATTCTCTCATTAATTAATTACCTCATTATCTTAAAATACATTAATAAATTAAATTAATTTGAGCCATGATCTGATTAATTCCGAATAATTGCATAATCAATATGATAGTAAATAACAGATCTCTGATTAGAAGTGCCAATACAAAATCGATATTAAATTAGTTCAAAAAATTAGACAAATTTGCTTATAATTACTAAATAGTATAAAAATAAATTTTAATTATACTTAATGTATAATACTATGTATTAAAACTATACATCATGTAAATAAATTCTAAAAAAAATACTACATACCGTATAATTTAAACTTAAAAAACTATACATATTGTATACCTACTATACATAATGTATACCACACTATACCATACTTATCTAATAAGTTATACTATACTGGTTTACTATATACTCGGAATTTTTTGATTTGGTGACTATTAAAAATTCGATGATAATATATTATAGTATTTGATTGGTCAATCGATTGCTTTAGTTATAAATTGCTTATACGTAAAACTGCATAATTCTTATGAATCATTATGCATTTGATTGGTCAATTGCTTTTTCTTAGCTATAATTGCTTATGAAACTGATCATAAAGTCACATAATATTTTTATAAATCATTATGTATACGTATCACTTAATTTAATCCATCAAAAATTTTCGCCCGCATGTATATTATTTTACAATTCGGAAATGACAATCTATTATAAGTACGTATACCCGTTGGATCGACATATGCTAGCCAATCACACGAATCCTTTTCTATGACTCAGTAACAGAGATCGACAACCGGCTAATTATCCTAATTTTGATCATTTAATCGTATACGTACGTACAGCGTTTCAAAAAGTAGCATCGACAAAAATATTATTATGCAAATCGTTGCTTTAAATGTCAAATTATATAGAAGAATGTTAACTAACTCATTTTTGTAAAAAATGCCGTAAGCCTTGTTTTAATTGACGCATCCCATATACTTTGTATTTAATAAAACTGAGTTACTACTTACCGCTACGTAAGTTGCAAAACACTACAATTGGTCGTAATCAGTGTTTCGTAGGATAAGTTCGACACGATAAAAGCTTAAATACTCGCACCTAATTTTTAATTTGACTGTACTTATTTCGAAATATTAATGAGTAGACCCTAATACAGATACCGTGTATCCTACGCAAAAAGTTACACAAATATATATTAGCGTATGAAAAATGGCATCCAATGAGTTTTACAGACTTGAGAACATATTTCGCTCCTACTCCGTTTCTGTTACTGTTAATTTTTCTACACCTTAAAATTATGGATGATGTGTTTATTGGAGAATGCGCAAACTGCAACCAATACAATACATCTCCAGCTTGGTGTCAGACATGTGATCCTCAGAAAATAACACAAGGATGGACAAGTGGAAATAAGGAAGTCGATAATTGTATTAAAGAATTTCAACTTAAAACTACAAAATACGAAGATATAATCGAATGGATTCCTTTTGATAGATTAGATGATATTCAAAATATTGGTGACAAATTTTTAACAACCTGGTTAGATGGAATACGTTATGTAAACAATAATCGTAAAGCTGAGTATGGACATGGATATAGATATACATAGTCACGTATACCAGCATATAAAGTGGAACTTAAAACATTAACTAGATCACAAAACTTATTAGAAATGCTAAATGAAGTAAGATAAATATTTAAAATATTATTGTAATGTACTATTATATGTTTATATATATATTTATAAATATTTATAAATATTTAATAAGTTTATAGATTATGCACAGTCAAATAATCTTAAAATATATGGACTAACTCAAAACAATGTAACAAATGAATATATGTTAGTATTTGATGAATTTGATTCTAAAAGATATTATTTTAATGGTAAATGTGCAAATTGCAAGCGATATAACACATCACCAGCTTGGTGTCAGACATGTGACATATATAAAATTACACAAGAGTGGAAGGAATGGACAAGTGGAAATAAGGAAATCGATAATTGTATTAAAGAACTTCAATTTAATGCTACAAAATACGAAGATGTAATCGAATGGATTCCTTTTAATAAATTAGATAATATTCAAAATATTGGTGACAAATTTTTAGCAACCTGGTTAGATGGAATACGATGCGTAGATGGAGATCGATATATATATACACAGTCACGTATACCAACACGTAAAGTGGAACTTAAAACATTAACTAGATCACAAAACTTATTAGAAATGTTAAATGAAGTAAGATAAATATTTAAAATATTATTGTAATGTACTACTGTATACTGCTTTTTCCTAATTCATATTTATATATTTATAAATATTTAATAAGTTTATAGATTATGCTCAGTCAAATAATCTTAAAGTATATGGGCTAACTCAGGACAAAACCACAAATGAATATATGTTAGTATTCAAAGATGAATTCGAATCTAAAAGAAATTATTTGAATGGAAAATGTGCAAATTGCAACCGATATAACACATCGCCAGTTTGGTGTCAGACGTGTGACCCTCAGAAGACAACACAAGGATGGGCAAGTGGAAATAAGGAAGTCGATGAATGCATTAAAGGATTTCAACTGAAAACTACTGAATATGAAGATGTAATCGAATGGATTCCTTTTGATATATTAGATAATATTCAAAATATTGGTGACAAATTTTTAGCAACCTGGTTAGATGGAATACGATGTCTAAAAATTAAATATGGTAAATATACACAGTCAAGTATACCAACATGTAAAGTGGAACTTAAACCGTTAACAAGATCACAAAACTTATTAGAAATGTTAAAAGAAGTAAGATAAATTATTTAAATCATTGTTATACTGCACTAACTTATTTTAATTCATATTTAATATATAAATATTTAATAAGTTTATAGATTATGTACAGTCGGGGAATCTTAAAGTATATGGACTAACTCAGGACACAACCACAAATGAATATATGCTGATATTTGACGAATTTGAAAGGAATTATGAATACGGTGTATGTGCGAATTGCAAAAGATATAACACATCGTCAGCCTGGTGTCAGACGTGTGACTCTCAGAAGACAACACAAGGATGGGCAAGTGGAAATAAGGAAGTCGATGAATGTATTAAAGGATTTCAACTTAAAGCTACAAAATACGAAGATGTAATCGAATGGATTCCTTTTAATGAATTAGATCAGATTCAAAATATTGGTGATAAATTTTTAGCAATCTGGTTAAGTGGAATACGAATACGATATATAAAAAAAGATGGTCATGGCGAATACGCACAGTCGCGTACGCAGCCATGCATGATTGAACTTAAATTATTGACTAGATCACAAAACTTATTAGAAATGTTAAAAGAAGTAAGATAATTGTAATATACTATTTTATGTTGCTTTATCTTAATCCATATTTATTTATTTATAAATACTTAAATAAGTTTATAGATTTTGTACAGTCAAATAATCTTAAAGTATATGGACTAACTCAGAACACGACTACAAACGAATATATGTTGGTATTTAATGAATTTAGTTCTAAAAGAAAGGATTGGAATGGAAAATGTGCAAACTGCAACAGATATAACACATCGCCAGCTTGGTGTCAGGCATGTGACCCTCATAAGACTACACAAGGATGGACAAGTGGAAATAAGGAAATCGATAACTGCATTAAAGAATTTCAACTTAAAGCTACTGAATATGAGAATGTAATCGAATTGATTCCTTTTAATAAATTAGATAATATTCAAAATATTGGTGATAGATTTTTAGCAACCTGGTTAGATGGAATACGTCATGTAAACAATGATCGTAAAGCTAAGTATGGACATAGTTATACACAGTCACGAATACCAACATATAGAGTGGGTCTTAAACCATTAATTAGATCACAAAACTTATTAGTAATGTTAGAAGAAGTAAGATAATATTTAAATTATTATTATAATGTACTTCCGCATATTGCATTATTTTAATTCATATTTATAATTTATAAATATTTAATAACGATAAGTTTACAGAATATGTACAGTTAAAAAATCCTAAAGTATATGGACTAACTCATGACACTACTAAAAATGAATATATGTTAGTACTTGATGAATTTGAGTCTAAAAGGAATTGTAAATATGGAATATGTACAATTTGTAACCAATACAACACATCTTTAGCTTGGTGTCAGACGTGTGATCCTCCAAAAACAGCACAAGGGTGGACAAGTGGAAATAAGGATGTTGACGATTGTATTAAAGAGTTTCAACTTAAAGCTACAAAATACGAAGACGTTATAGAATGGATTCCTTTTAATAGATTAGATAACACTCAAAATATTGGTGATAGATTTTTAGCAACCTGGTTAGATGGAATACGATATTTAAATGAAAATATACAGTCACGTAAGCCATCATATAAAGTGGAGCTTAAAACATTAACAAGATCACAAAAATTTTTAGATATGTTAAAAGAAGTAAGAAAAAAAATACTGTATTTAAATTATTATTGTATTTATTATTATATATA